GTGGGCCAGGCGTACGGTGGGCTCCCTGCAGCTCGGCCAGGGCCTGACCTCCCTTCCCGGCAGGCCGCAAGGCGGGGAAGGGTTTCTACGTCTACCAGCAAGGCGTGAAGAACAGGAGCGTGAACACCAGCATGGACGAGATCTTGGCGCAGTTCAAGGTGCCCTCCAGGCCGGAGGTGTAAGTAACCCGTGTGGAACCCCAAGGGGCTGGCTCAGAGCCCTCGGCACCCCCAGGGCTGGGCCGGATTGACTGCAGAATGTCACCAGCCCAACCCAACATCTAGCTGGTTCAGGACAGAACCAGTGGGCTGGAATTGGATTATAAATGTATAATTTGCCTATCTGCCACATGCTTCTTTGTAGGGATCTTAAACCAGATCTTCTCTGCTCGGATGGCTGCTGTGGGCCGGAGGCAGCTGGGCTGGCGGGGGTTGGATTGGTGCGGCTGTACCCGCAGGAGCGCGTCTGCTCGGATGGCTGCTGTGGGCCGGGGGTAGCTGGGCTGGCGGGGGTTGGATTGGTGCGGCTGTACCCGCAGGAGCGCGTCTGCTCGGATGGCTGCTGTGGGCCGGGGGTAGCTGGGCTGGCGGGGGTTGGATTGGTGCGGCTGTACCCGCAGGAGCGCGTCTGCTCGGATGGCTGCTGTGGGCCGGGGGTAGCTGGGCTGGCGGGGGTTGGATTGGTGCGGCTGTACCCGCAGGAGCGCGTCTGCTCGGATGGCTGCTGTGGGCCGGGGGTAGCTGGGCTGGCGGGGGTTGGATTGGTGCGGCTGTACCCGCAGGAGCGCGTCTGCTCGGATGGCTGCTGTGGGCCGGGGGTAGCTGGGCTGGCGGGGGTTGGATTGGTGCGGCTGTACCCGCAGGAGCGCGTCTGCTCGGATGGCTGCTGTGGGCCGGGGGTAGCTGGGCTGGCGGGGGTTGGATTGGTGCGGCTGTACCCGCAGGAGCGCGTCTGCTCGGATGGCTGCTGTGGGCCGGGGGTAGCTGGGCTGGCGGGGGTTGGATTGGTGCGGCTGTACCCGCAGGAGCGCGTCTGCTCGGATGGCTGCTGTGGGCCGGGGGTAGCTGGGCTGGCGGGGGTTGGATTGGTGCGGCTGTACCCGCAGGAGCGCGTCTGCTCGGATGGCTGCTGTGGGCCGGGGGTAGCTGGGCTGGCGGGGGTTGGATTGGTGCGGCTGTACCCGCAGGAGCGCGTCTGCTCGGATGGCTGCTGTGGGCCGGGGGTAGCTGGGCTGGCGGGGGTTGGATTGGTGCGGCTGTACCCGCAGGAGCGCGTCTGCTCGGATGGCTGCTGTGGGCCGGGGGTAGCTGGGCTGGCGGGGGTTGGATTGGTGCGGCTGTACCCGCAGGAGCGCGTCTGCTCGGATGGCTGCTGTGGGCCGGGGGTAGCTGGGCTGGCGGGGGTTGGATTGGTGCGGCTGTACCCGCAGGAGCGCGTCTGCTCGGATGGCTGCTGTGGGCCGGGGGTAGCTGGGCTGGCGGGGGTTGGATTGGTGCGGCTGTACCCGCAGGAGCGCGTCTGCTCGGATGGCTGCTGTGGGCCGGGGGTAGCTGGGCTGGCGGGGGTTGGATTGGTGCGGCTGTACCCGCAGGAGCGCGTCTGCTCGGATGGCTGCTGTGGGCCGGGGGTAGCTGGGCTGGCGGGGGTTGGATTGGTGCGGCTGTACCCGCAGGAGCGCGTCTGCTCGGATGGCTGCTGTGGGCCGGGGGTAGCTGGGCTGGCGGGGGTTGGATTGGTGCGGCTGTACCCGCAGGAGCGCGTCTGCTCGGATGGCTGCTGTGGGCCGGGGGTAGCTGGGCTGGCGGGGGTTGGATTGGTGCGGCTGTACCCGCAGGAGCGCGTCTGCTCGGATGGCTGCTGTGGGCCGGGGGTAGCTGGGCTGGCGGGGGTTGGATTGGTGCGGCTGTACCCGCAGGAGCGCGTCTGCTCGGATGGCTGCTGTGGGCCGGGGGTAGCTGGGCTGGCGGGGGTTGGATTGGTGCGGCTGTACCCGCAGGAGCGCGTCTGCTCGGATGGCTGCTGTGGGCCGGGGGTAGCTGGGCTGGCGGGGGTTGGATTGGTGCGGCTGTACCCGCAGGAGCGCGTCTGCTCGGATGGCTGCTGTGGGCCGGGGGTAGCTGGGCTGGCGGGGGTTGGATTGGTGCGGCTGTACCCGCAGGAGCGCGTCTGCTCGGATGGCTGCTGTGGGCCGGGGGTAGCTGGGCTGGCGGGGGTTGGATTGGTGCGGCTGTACCCGCAGGAGCGCGTCTGCTCGGATGGCTGCTGTGGGCCGGGGGTAGCTGGGCTGGCGGGGGTTGGATTGGTGCGGCTGTACCCGCAGGAGCGCGTCTGCTCGGATGGCTGCTGTGGGCCGGGGGTAGCTGGGCTGGCGGGGGTTGGATTGGTGCGGCTGTACCCGCAGGAGCGCGTCTGCTCGGATGGCTGCTGTGGGCCGGGGGTAGCTGGGCTGGCGGGGGTTGGATTGGTGCGGCTGTACCCGCAGGAGCGCGTCTGCTCGGATGGCTGCTGTGGGCCGGGGGTAGCTGGGCTGGCGGGGGTTGGATTGGTGCGGCTGTACCCGCAGGAGCGCGTCTGCTCGGATGGCTGCTGTGGGCCGGGGGTAGCTGGGCTGGCGGGGGTTGGATTGGTGCGGCTGTACCCGCAGGAGCGCGTCTGCTCGGATGGCTGCTGTGGGCCGGGGGTAGCTGGGCTGGCGGGGGTTGGATTGGTGCGGCTGTACCCGCAGGAGCGCGTCTGCTCGGATGGCTGCTGTGGGCCGGGGGTAGCTGGGCTGGCGGGGGTTGGATTGGTGCGGCTGTACCCGCAGGAGCGCGTCTGCTCGGATGGCTGCTGTGGGCCGGGGGTAGCTGGGCTGGCGGGGGTTGGATTGGTGCGGCTGTACCCGCAGGAGCGCGTCTGCTCGGATGGCTGCTGTGGGCCGGGGGTAGCTGGGCTGGCGGGGGTTGGATTGGTGCGGCTGTACCCGCAGGAGCGCGTCTGCTCGGATGGCTGCTGTGGGCCGGGGGTAGCTGGGCTGGCGGGGGTTGGATTGGTGCGGCTGTACCCGCAGGAGCGCGTCTGCTCGGATGGCTGCTGTGGGCCGGGGGTAGCTGGGCTGGCGGGGGTTGGATTGGTGCGGCTGTACCCGCAGGAGCGCGTCTGCTCGGATGGCTGCTGTGGGCCGGGGGTAGCTGGGCTGGCGGGGGTTGGATTGGTGCGGCTGTACCCGCAGGAGCGCGTCTGCTCGGATGGCTGCTGTGGGCCGGGGGTAGCTGGGCTGGCGGGGGTTGGATTGGTGCGGCTGTACCCGCAGGAGCGCGTCTGCTCGGATGGCTGCTGTGGGCCGGGGGTAGCTGGGCTGGCGGGGGTTGGATTGGTGCGGCTGTACCCGCAGGAGCGCGTCTGCTCGGATGGCTGCTGTGGGCCGGGGGTAGCTGGGCTGGCGGGGGTTGGATTGGTGCGGCTGTACCCGCAGGAGCGCGTCTGCTCGGATGGCTGCTGTGGGCCGGGGGTAGCTGGGCTGGCGGGGGTTGGATTGGTGCGGCTGTACCCGCAGGAGCGCGTCTGCTCGGATGGCTGCTGTGGGCCGGGGGTAGCTGGGCTGGCGGGGGTTGGATTGGTGCGGCTGTACCCGCAGGAGCGCGTCTGCTCGGATGGCTGCTGTGGGCCGGGGGTAGCTGGGCTGGCGGGGGTTGGATTGGTGCGGCTGTACCCGCAGGAGCGCGTCTGCTCGGATGGCTGCTGTGGGCCGGGGGTAGCTGGGCTGGCGGGGGTTGGATTGGTGCGGCTGTACCCGCAGGAGCGCGTCTGCTCGGATGGCTGCTGTGGGCCGGGGGTAGCTGGGCTGGCGGGGGTTGGATTGGTGCGGCTGTACCCGCAGGAGCGCGTCTGCTCGGATGGCTGCTGTGGGCCGGGGGTAGCTGGGCTGGCGGGGGTTGGATTGGTGCGGCTGTACCCGCAGGAGCGCGTCTGCTCGGATGGCTGCTGTGGGCCGGGGGTAGCTGGGCTGGCGGGGGTTGGATTGGTGCGGCTGTACCCGCAGGAGCGCGTCTGCTCGGATGGCTGCTGTGGGCCGGGGGTAGCTGGGCTGGCGGGGGTTGGATTGGTGCGGCTGTACCCGCAGGAGCGCGTCTGCTCGGATGGCTGCTGTGGGCCGGGGGTAGCTGGGCTGGCGGGGGTTGGATTGGTGCGGCTGTACCCGCAGGAGCGCGTCTGCTCGGATGGCTGCTGTGGGCCGGGGGTAGCTGGGCTGGCGGGGGTTGGATTGGTGCGGCTGTACCCGCAGGAGCGCGTCTGCTCGGATGGCTGCTGTGGGCCGGGGGTAGCTGGGCTGGCGGGGGTTGGATTGGTGCGGCTGTACCCGCAGGAGCGCGTCTGCTCGGATGGCTGCTGTGGGCCGGGGGTAGCTGGGCTGGCGGGGGTTGGATTGGTGCGGCTGTACCCGCAGGAGCGCGTCTGCTCGGATGGCTGCTGTGGGCCGGGGGTAGCTGGGCTGGCGGGGGTTGGATTGGTGCGGCTGTACCCGCAGGAGCGCGTCTGCTCGGATGGCTGCTGTGGGCCGGGGGTAGCTGGGCTGGCGGGGGTTGGATTGGTGCGGCTGTACCCGCAGGAGCGCGTCTGCTCGGATGGCTGCTGTGGGCCGGGGGTAGCTGGGCTGGCGGGGGTTGGATTGGTGCGGCTGTACCCGCAGGAGCGCGTCTGCTCGGATGGCTGCTGTGGGCCGGGGGTAGCTGGGCTGGCGGGGGTTGGATTGGTGCGGCTGTACCCGCAGGAGCGCGTCTGCTCGGATGGCTGCTGTGGGCCGGGGGTAGCTGGGCTGGCGGGGGTTGGATTGGTGCGGCTGTACCCGCAGGAGCGCGTCTGCTCGGATGGCTGCTGTGGGCCGGGGGTAGCTGGGCTGGCGGGGGTTGGATTGGTGCGGCTGTACCCGCAGGAGCGCGTCTGCTCGGATGGCTGCTGTGGGCCGGGGGTAGCTGGGCTGGCGGGGGTTGGATTGGTGCGGCTGTACCCGCAGGAGCGCGTCTGCTCGGATGGCTGCTGTGGGCCGGGGGTAGCTGGGCTGGCGGGGGTTGGATTGGTGCGGCTGTACCCGCAGGAGCGCGTCTGCTCGGATGGCTGCTGTGGGCCGGGGGTAGCTGGGCTGGCGGGGGTTGGATTGGTGAGTCCCGCCCCTGCCTTGCAGCTGCACGGAGGAGGATATCCAGCTGCGCCTGGTGACCCGCTTTGTGAACGAGGCGGTGATGTGCCTGCAGGAGGGGATCCTGAGCAGCCCGGTGGAGGGAGACATGGGGGCTGTGTTCGGCCTGGGCTTCCCGCCCTGCCTGGGAGGTGAGTGGCGCCACCGGACACGGGCTGGGACCACCTGGGCTTCGCTGCACCAGGAGAGCTGCGGCCTCGTGCCGGCCCATGGCTCCATCCGCACTGCCAGTGGGGTGCTCCAAGCCCCGCCCACCCCGAGGGCAGCTGGGCTGGCGGGGGCTGGATTGGTGCGGCGG